ATAGCAACTTTGAAACAGAGGGTCATTTCTTCTAGTACAGATTTTTACTTGCACAGCGTGCAGGTCTAGTTCATCACTGGCAAAAATGCATTGCTAATGGTGATGGCTATGTTTAAAAATATATCTTGTAGCTGAGAATTTGCTATTTTATATTGTGCTCTTTGTAGCTGTAGTAGTTTCCATATAAATAAATAGGAAGCCTTACTTTCAGATAAACCAATGTATAATGTTTCTGTCAACAGTTTGCAGTCCTTTCCAATTCTTAAGCTTTTATTTTTTAGAAATTTGTTTTTTCTTCATTTTCATCTAAGTAACAATCCTACATAAAACCATAGCAATAAAAATCCTCGACCTTTTCTTGATTTGAGCAAAATTAATGAGCTTTTGGAAGTGAAATCTACAATTTTTTTTATTAAAAAAATCTTAAACAGAGGAAAGTAGTTATGTTAGACAGTAAATAAGTATTACAACAGTGTCATAACTATCAGTAATTCCTTATCTCTGTATAATTTAATGTTTTGGAAATTAGCATTAAATCCGTAGCTGGTAGCGAACAAAACATTTTGTATAGAAGGGACTGTTTGCTTTCAAGATGTCTCTCTGTTCTCTCAAAGCTTTTGTCATTTGTGTGGTGTTTTTGTTTTTTAGTTTTATGATCTTTTTAATTTCTTACATTTCTTTCTAGCAGGGGAATTTAGCTGATTTATTTTGAACTCATAGCAGTGTATCTAAGAGTCTGTCTTGTTTCAACATTGCTATATAGATTAAAACTTTATCGTTTTATTTTGACAAGCATTTATTTTGACATATCTCCTGACTATGTGTTGCCTCACACTGATGCTCTTGTGTTCAAATGTAGTGTTCTGTCCCAATTTTGTGGTGGTGAAGTTACAAATCACACTGGGGTATTCTCTTACACTCCACTGAAAGTGGAGTTGGGACAGTGGGGCACACTCTGGAATGCTCCTTTTCCTGTCATAAATCTGTGTGAAGACCTGGGAAAGGATTGAGTTTGGGATCTACAGTTGAGTAAAACAGCCCTCTCTAAAATCTAATTAGCTAACCATTTTGGCCACACTGGTGTGCCACATGTGATCAGCATGGGCTCAGCAGTCACCTGTTTCTGCTAAGGCTTCCTATGAATGTCAGGAAACCTGATAAGAAAATACTGCAAGACTGATATTTCTAGTGTTCATTTTTCCATATTTTAGCAAATCAGAATCATTGATTGCAGTTGGTTAACATCACGTTTCAAGAAACAGACCGCTACTCATACATGTTTCAACTTTTTTATTAGATGTTTGACTGATGTGAAGTATCAGCTGCAGAAAACATTGATAGAAGGGATCTGTTTATCTCTCTGTTAAAGAAGAATGGAACATTAGTTAAGCGAAATGTGTCTAGTCTATAATCTGCATCAAAGTTAAGTATGCCCTAGTTTTATGAAAGAGACATAAAGAAGATTCCTACAGGCCATACTTATTTCTTTTTGATTTCACAGATTACTTCAATTAGATTTTTCTCTTTGATTCTGTTACTTTAATTACTTTATCAGGCAATATTAAGTTTCAGTCTCTAATTTGGTATGTGTTTTGTGTAAACAGTTCCCAAATTATTTTGTCTGGATCAAAATGAATGCAGAACATGAGTGTGTTAGTATTGCTGCCAGCCCTTCTTGCCTCTTCTAGTCAGGGAAGTCTATTAGCACATCAAGGCTTGTGTTGAGAAAGATGTTTTTCTGTGATGGAGATGGGAATGATCTCTCAACTAATAACAACTAGAGCTGCCTCAAGAGCTGAGAATACAAGTACAGCAAAGAGAGAATTACCGATGGAGAAGAGTGCCTTCTTGAACTTTCTTTGACATTTTGCACATATGTGACTTGTTACATTTAAGGATATATGCATTTTGTCGCTTATCTGATAAAAGTCTCTTACATCTCTTAAAAGTACAAAATATTACTAATGTATTTCAATAAAACATTTTTCATTCTCTGGTTTTATTTATTGAGATTTTATATAACTGCAGAGAGGAAATGTTCTTAACATAAAAATTCTTCCTTGTGTATAACATTACTGGCAATTTACAAAAAACTGTTTATTTTATATTGCTAGAGTAATTGTGTCAAGGCACAATCATATTTTACCAAATTTTGTGAGGTAAGTAACAGGCTGAAACATTTCCTAGCTGTGTCAGAACCCCACTGTACAGGCCTTTTGATAAATGGTCAGAAAAATAAATGCATGGGATGCAAAGGTTAGTAGACAGTTGTACTGTGATTTATCAAATAAAAACCTTAATGCAATTCAGTTGATGAGAGATTGTAACTCAGCCTTTCCGATAGTTATTCTTAGCTGTGGCTGCTCTGTCAGGTTTTCCCTTTCACTGTCAAATTGGCATGGTACACTGGAAAAGTATAAGAAGATATAATTAGTAGATGCATTGGGGGTACCTTATGCTGGAAGTGCATTGGGCTCTTTAAGATTGATTCAAAAGCCCAGTAAAAAATATACAGAAACACAGAAAAGCCAGACATTCTTTTCTGAAAGGTATAGTGTGTTTCCCAAAATACTTTTACTCAGGTTCACAAAATACAGAAGCATATTTTACTTTTTACTGAATGTTTCTGTGAATGCAGTAGAACTTTCACTTACTGAATCAGAACTTTGAAGGAAGCACTTAAAGCTTAATAGTACCTAGTATAGATAGGTGTATGCCCATTAGAAATACAAATAACAATGCAAGCACCAAATTTCTTAGCTTCTTTCATTGTGTTACATCCTGCATTTATTTTAATGTTTGTTTTAAAAGCTGTATCAGTTGTCTAGTAAGTAATTAACCTTCTCAGATGAGAAGCTTGTTTTGTGAGAGTTTGACATTTCACAACTGCATTTAAAATGAACTTTATATTATAGGAGGTAGTTGTGAAAGGATGTTTGCCAGAAGTGAAGTTCTAGGTAGGTAAAGGGGTCAGAAGGAAAATGAATGATGGAAGTTAATGCAAGCTTTTAAGCTCTTAGGCATACCTAACTTAAGTGAATATCAAACCAGGATTTTGTTTATTTACTTTTAAGGTTGACGTCTGCTAATGCTTACCTATTTCTCTCCCCACTGGAACTGTGAGAGTATTTTTTCTAATTCAATATCTGTTTTCATATTCAAAAGTTAGGATCTATAAATTGCCTCCTAAAAGCAAACAAACAAAAACCTGATTCAAATTCCCTTTTTCTGTTTTAGTTTTATAAATATATTTTTGGTGAGCATAAATAGCAGGCAGGTGACGACCACCAAATCTGCATTTATTAGTTTTCTGTGGAAAAGCTATTCTTGACTTGTATATGTTTTATTTCTTCATATATGTAAAAGGAAATTAATCATACATGGCAACTCTGATTTTGTGTGTAAGTTATTTAAAAAATATTTTATATTCGCAAAGTCTGCACACGAAAAAAAAATCCATAAAGACATATTTGTTAGCTTGTTTTTCAAGCTTTAAACTGTTTCAAGAATGGGATTTGTAGTTTTAATGCAAAGATTTGAAGATTATATGAAGTATTGCTGGCTGAGTTGTTCTTTTTTTCACAGAAACTTGCAGTGAGCTTGTTAAATGTCTGAAAATAATAAATAATCTAATGGTTTGCTTTAGACAGTAATTGAGACTAGAAGTCTTTTAAATGACAGATCTTACCAACTTCAGTGGTTTGTAGGCTTATTTTTGTTGTGCCAGTTGGTCACATATCTGATAGTTTTTCTTGTGTGACTCTTGCAAATGATTGTACGCCGTTATCTGAGTGAAAAGCCATTAGACTTATATGAGGGAATATGACAACATTGCTTCAAAAGACTAAAGCATTTCCCAGCTATGTGTGTGTGTGTGAACAATTTTTTCAGACCCCTATTCTTTTTGACTTTTTTTTCATTTATTTCTTTAGAAATTGTAAGACCTAACCTTCAGAGAAAGCGGACTGTTATAACAACACATTTTGAAGCTGTATCTTACTCTATGTGAAGTGTGCATTTGCACAATTCTCGTTCTGCATGGAGCAGTGATGTCTGTTTACTGCTTTCTGGTTTATGCGTATTAGAATGCAGTATGTTTGGACTAAGTCATATAATTAAATGTGTGTGTACTATGTTGCGTGTTTTAAAATAACACAGACAATAGCATACCCTCTAGTCACTTACTGCCAAGTCCAATGAAATTCCTGTTTAGCAGTGGCTGTGCTCCTTTCACATGTTTTGACAGCAGTCATCCTTGTTAAGTGCTTTCCACATCAGACTCCAGTAGCTTGAATGTAACCTGATCTATGTTTGGTTTCAGTGTGTTGTCTGCTGACCTAGAGAACACTTGCATTAGCTGCATTGATCAATCCACATCACATCTCATCATTTAGGAGACAATTAATACTGCAGTGTAAAGACTCCCCAGAGCATTTTCTTAGAGCTGGATTGCTTTACATGAAAACCACAGGAGTTGTTTCTGAAGGGAGAAAGAATCCAAGTAGAAAAGAAAAGTAGGCATCAAGAAAGCTACATGCAGAAAACAAGCTTCATTTACATTGGTCACTTCCACTTACGTCATTCAAACCCCCTTCTTTATTTGTTTTATTTGGAGGAAAAAAATAGAATTGTATTTTGAAGATGATGTATTGAAAAACTGTTATAAATATAACTCGTCATATAAATATTCTGAATTTTTTGCTATATATTGACAAATGTATTCACACAGATATAGTATACTGCTCAGAATGTAATCAGTTTATCAGTAATCAGTTTTTCGAATTGGTTATAAATCGTCTTTTATCCAGACTGGATTGCGAAGTTACATGTTTATGGAGTCTACATAAATATGAGTTGCTTAAAACATTTTAAGACACTTACTGAGATACTGCTAGATGTTTTTTTTAAGGCTGCTTTTGAGCACCATCTTTATGACATAATTCAAGTGATTTGTGAGTTCTGACAAACCCATTTTATTGAGATCAACTTTTTTCTTTCAGGTACTACAGAGCGGGTGTGTCTGATCCAGGGAACAGTTGAAGCACTAAATGCAGTTCATGGCTTCATTGCAGAGAAGATTCGAGAAATGCCTCAAAATGTGGCCAAGACAGAGCCTGTCAGCATCCTACAGCCTCAGACCACTGTCAATCCAGACCGCATCAAACAAGTGAGTTTTTGGTTGGGAATAGAAAGTCACATCAACTCCGTAGAGTTAGCTTCCTTTTTCAGAAGCTTTAAAATTTTAAGGCGGCAAGGGGTGAACATAATATGTTCCTTTCAGAAAATGTTATTTTCCTTTTTAGTAATTTACTAAATTACTAGTCCTCTTCTTTTTTATGCTTGCATGTTCTATGTTTCCCAGCAGTTCTTTTAGTGTCTTACAAATTTTAGACTCTAATGTGTTTCTTTCATAAACTCTTCTCTACTGTATAAGGCAATAACACACATCTAGATTTTAGTTAAAAAGGATTGCTAAAATTTAAAATTAAAAATATGAACCTCTTGTAAATCTTTAGAGAATTAAAAGAATTTTTAAAATTTTCATGTATCTTAAATAAAGCAAAAACATACCTAAAAATGTTAATTGTATTTTAGACCTTTTAATAGATACTTAAAAATCTTACGTGTGAGAATTTGAAAATATAAAGATAACTTATTTGGGATGATATCTACTACTCATTTTCTGTTATTTTTGGCATCTTTTTGCCTGTTTTATATTGTCTTATTTCAGTATCTCTATGACCTGCAACATATTTTTTCAAGATATCATTGGATTAGTGTTTTCTCTAGTTCATCGTAATTTCCAGAACAATTCCAATTTTAAAGAAATCATTTTCTTTAAGGAGAATGTGGAAGTTGTCATATAGAATTTTTAAATAAATTATTTTCCATTTTATTGAATAAGAAAAAGATGAAGAAGGAAATGAGTGAACGTTAGTTTCTCACCTTTCCTACGTAGGATAAGTTTGTTTGGTCCTCTACGCTAGCAAGATAAAGTGTCCTATTAAGTAATTTGGTAACTGTCTGCAATTACTTGACTTTCTATGTAATGCCATACACAGAACATATAGATGAAGATGTGGTAAATGAACACACTGCTTTAAATGGATGAAACTGTGCCAAGCCATTTTATATGATTTCTAATTATTTCTACTATTTTCTTTACATGCTATACTTCTGCATTAAAAAACAAAACTAAACAACAACAACAAAAAAAGCCCTCTAGGTAATTTATAAGAAAATACTAAAATGAAAAGCCTCAATTTTTTAGAATTAGTTTCTCAATTATTAAACATGAAAATGATTGTGCCTGAGGTGGAGAGGAGAGGAAGAGAGAGAAACCTGAAGAGCAGATCTGTGCTTTAAATGTCTTTTCATCCTGTAGAATGTTAGATTTTATGCCATTACCTCTTAACCCAGTGGGAAATGAATTTTATTTATTGTAGTAGAAAGTGCTTTTCCACTTTGCAATGTAAGTGAAAATCTTTTCAAGTCACTACTGAGAAACTTACAGACCTGCATAGTGATATTCCTCAATACTTCCTGTCTTGTTTCTCAATTTGATGTAGTATTTCCACACAGAAGCTGAGGAGGAAATAGTTCTAAAGAAAACTTACTTGTGAAGTTTGTGGTGGTGTGGTTAGTTCTCATTGTGTTTTTCTTTTTTTTTTTTCTTTTTTTTCTTTTTTTTTTGGTTCTTTTTTGTTTATTTACTTTTATTCATTTAATTCCATGCTTGGAATTTAAATTCTGGAGTGATGGTTTAGATATTAGAGCTGCCACCGCTGAAGTCTAGACACAGACTGAATACAATGTATTTTTTACATGATTCTAGTATGATTTTTTTTGCTCCATATTTTATAATTTAAACATATCACCTGTCCACATACAGGTGAACACCTATTTATCATTTGTAGATATGCTTGTTCATATGTTGAACAGTTTTAACTATGTAAATTTAATTGTTTAATTTTGTTTTAAGGAAGTTACATCTGTTCATGATAATTTCATAATATGTAAATATTGACAGTATAAGTCTAATTCTGTTTTGTTGTTTGTTGTGTTTTTGGTTTTTTAATCAGGATTTGAAATCGTTAGCTTAGATTTTGAGTTTATAGTGAAGTATACTCCACTGTCAGAATTTTGACTGTCTTAATGAAATAGAAATTACTTCTATTTAAGAAATTTAAAAGGATATTTTATAATGGATAATCATGATCTGAAACTTCTGTGCTGCTATGTTCTTACAACAGACTGGACACAATTTTATACACTATCCTGATCATTCTGGTCATTCAAGTCATTATTAACATGTAAAAAAAAGCCATATGAATTACAACTTCTTCTTTTACACAAACTTTTTATGTGTTTTTTACTCTCTTAGAGAATTACCCAAAAACTTTGTCATTCAGGTTTTCTGAAATGTAATGTTGTAAACTGAGGAAAGTAGCTTTAGCATTTGAGATTGAGATTAGAATTGAAATTATAAATTTTGCCTTCACTTGGAGGTATTAGAGATATTTCAGTTGATTTTGTTTCAAGCAAATAAACAAGAAGAAAAAAACAACAAGGCTGTCCCTTATGAATGAAGGTGCTTGTAGCTTGAGGCTTTGCCATATCACCCATGTCTATATGAGCACATAGCTCTCATTTCTCATTGTGGACTTCTCTACAGATAAGAAGCAAGCAAAGAAAGGAGATGTATGTCTGTGATTTCAGTTAAGAATGTTAGTAGGTAAATGCTGCCTCTCTCACGTTTCAGAACTTTCTGTCTTCAGGAAGGCGCAGGTGTGCAGTGAGGCTGAGCATAGCTTGGCTTTTATTTATACAAAGCAAGTTGAAATCCAAATGTTCCGTTCTAACTTCTACGTTTCATCATTGGAATCCTCACGGGCAAGTCTGTCTGATTCAGTTTGAACCTTCTCCACAATATTTTTTCTAATCTTCTAACCCTGTAGACTTACTAGTAGATATCAAGTAGGTCTGTACCCTGAACATGTCTGATCAATATTTAACTGATTACTGTTTGCATCTTATGAAATGTAGATAGCCTCTTCATAGCTGTCAGATATCTATAGCTTCTAGACACTGTTCGACAATAACCGACTGTGTTCATTTATTTCCTAGAAACTGCTATGAGGATTTAACCTCTCCAATAGAGGAAGTATCATACCAGCTTTATACTACCACGTTATAATCCAGGAGAACAGAATGCAGTTTTCATAAAGTGCTCAGTAGACTGAGCTGTTTTGGCTTCATAATTAGCTCACAGAGCTTTAAATTTCACCTCTAAACTAATAGCAGCTACTATAAAGAGTGGGAGAAAACTCTGTAGTGTCTTGTCACATCACCTTATTCAGAAACCGTTCAAGCTTCTTTACATTATGACAGAATTTTCCTTCCAGCTATGCAGTTATTTTATAGATAGAAGGTGTTTTAGCAGCCTACCCAGGAACCATATGGAACTGCAGTTTGCTATTGCAGAGGTTAGCATTATACATAAGGAAGACCATGTGATCTTATAGTGGACTCTGCTATAATGAATAGTTTATCCTGACTGGCCTTCTGAAATCCCTTCCAACCTGAATCATGCTTTGATTCTATAAAGTCTTTAGTTATCACAACATGAACAAAAGTTTATTCCTTGAATATCTGGACTACAGCTTTCACATATAGAACTTCCAATTAATATTTTAATTCAACTTTTTCAGTAGAGAAGTAGCTTCTTGTAGATCTTTTAACTTCTGTTCCATTCATTAATCACGTTCCCAGATATTGTATTTAAAATGTATAAAATTCAGTATCTGAACTCAGATTTGTACATACTTTTTCTTCCAGTGAAAAGAACTACTTGAATAGGATTACTTCAGAAATTCTGATCAACAACAAAATATATTGGATCACTCAGATTTAATGAAAAGCTTATCTTCTAAGTATTTAAATAGAACCTGACTTTAAGAGTACACATCAGAATATGTTGGTTTAACAGAGGATTTAATATTTTTTTTTTTTTATGCTTTGGATATGAGTTGGTCAAACTAGAGCTTTAGTAGATTTAAGAGGTTTCTTAAAATGCCTCTCCCATCTGATGAACTTTTCTTCTTTTAGCATCTGCTTCAGAAAGAGTGTATCACCTAGAGCAACCTTATTAACATGCAGAATATAAGAAAACTCTACATTTTTCATTTGAGGATAATAAATACAAGCTGTTTTGTAAATCACTGTTTCTTCATCTTTTCAATAATTTCTTATAAACCTTTCTCAGGTTTAAATACCAGTGAAGAATGGCACCAATTACCATTCTTAACCATGAATAATATGTTACACAGGTATGTTTATAAGTCATCAGGATGAACAAAAGTAATTTGTTATCCTATACTAGAGAGACAGTCATTTGTATTAGGTCCCATGGCAAAAGTTTAGCATTCCAATTCCTAGTTCCACAACCAAAACTTATAATATTTTATCCCTCATGTGTACTTGACTTCTGCTGCTAGATCACTATTTTATGATATTTTAATTTTGTTTAATTTCACCAGTGTTCAATGTAATCATCAGATGTATATAAAAATGCTTTTTAAACTCAATTAATGTTCCATTAATTGCTGATGATTAGCTCTTCATTGTATGTGTTTCAAAAGTGGAATGAGGAAAGAAGATTGCTTTAGGGGAATGAACAGTAGCATTTAGGATTGCAGTTCTCATTATCTTGAGCCTTCTGAGGTTTTGCAGTTTTGATAGTACTTTTCTAAATCTCGAAGTAGCCCAAAATCGAAAGGTGACTTTTTTTTTCCCTTCTAGTTCTCAGAGTTTTGTGATCCATGTATTCTTATGTATATTGTTACCTGTGTTTGGTTACCTACTTGAATTTTCTGGTATTTCTACATAACACCACATCTTGCATTAGTTCTGTGTTACTGTGACAAGTTTTGAGGAAAGTAAGTCCTTCTTTGTCCATCTTACTGTAATCTTCGTCATAAATCACACATTCCACCTAGGAGTTGCTCTGATGATCCAAATGGCACCTGCTAGTTTGCTTTATGCTCGTTCACCCTTATTGTACAATAAAGGCAAAATATGAGATAAGCTCTATTTCACATCAGACATACCACAATTTGTTTCCTGTTTCAAGGAGATACCCCAAAGAGTATATAAACACACAAAAATTACCTCTGTATCAACCTGTAAGCAAGCATTTTATCTGCATATGCTAGCTTTCTTTCTGTCCTGTTCTATGCTCTAGATATTGTTTTTCACAAAAGCAAAACCAAATGCAAAGAGCATGAAATATCGATCTGAATGGTTTTTATTTGGTCCTTGTAGAAAAGGTAGCAAGTAAAGTTAAATCCCTTAAGTTATCAAAATAGCTCTTTTACACTCTTGTTTGAAAATTACTTAGCAGTTCTCAGTAATTTCTATTTTAAAATGCATTTTTAAAATGTGTTGCTTAAACAATCGTTACTCAGATGAGAATAATTTGGTAAAGTTTTATGTTATAAAAATTCACAGAAGGTGGAAAAGAAAATTTAATGTATTTAGCAAAGAAGGAGTCTGAGATAGGCTCCTCTTTGCTGCAACTTACTAGCTTATTAAGTCAGTATTATTTGTTGTACAGTGTAACAGGAGCTTTCAGAGCTTTTTTTTTTCTTATTCTAGCTGCAGAAGATATTCAACTGTTTTATAATATTCCAAAAAGATACCACCTTATCTTTAAATTAAATTAAAATATTAGTTTAAGCAAATTAATATTCCCATTAAATTAATTTGATTTACAAGCACGAACATTTATATTCAAGACTGAAACTCACTGTTAGATTGGTAATAATAACACTGTAATATGGATAATGTTATGACCAAGATTGTTTAGCAAGCTCTATAGTAGGAAAGTAGAAAGTGGTTAACTGTAAATGCACTTTCATCTTCACATTTAAGTGGATTTTTTTTGTCTTATGCTTTCATGTCTCTAACCTTGTTTCTAAATATTTCATTTTCTGCCTTTCCCTTCTACCCGTCTGTGTACTAGTTACACTGATAGATACTGAGAATTAAATTAGCAGTCTCAGTACAATATTTATCTTTTCTTAGTTTGTATATATATTTACATATACATATACATACATACATACATATATATATATATATATAAAAGATGTGACCTTTGTCATTTATACATTAATCTTAATTAGACAGTTCACAGAGTTACAGGAAAGAGGTCTCAGTAGGCCTTCTGGAACACCATGCAGTTTTAGTGTACATATTCTGTACTTCTGTGATTCAAATGTGTTTTCATTTTGCAAGCTAAAAGTACAAAGCGTGCAAATGTCATGCTGCAGCCATCTTTCTGCACCCTTTAGTATATTGTAAAGCCTGAGAGCGGTCCTATCCACTTTTTTGTTGTTTTTTTTGTGAGAAAAACAAGGAAGAAGTATTTTCTTGAACTTGGAAAATACGAGAGCTCAAATACAATTCAGTTTTACTTCAAAATTTTTTATTACTTAAAATCTGTTTTCTCACACGTCTCTTCTAGAGGTTTATAATAGAGAGGGGGAAAAAAGGAAAAAGCAGCCAAAGAAAAAGCATTTTCTTCCCTGTAAATATCATCTTCTATTTGTTTGCTCACATAACTTATGCAAAAGGAAGTAATCTTTAAGGAAAGAAAACAGAACAAAACTGCAAGATTCATAAAAGTGGTATATAATAGGAATTGTGACTAGCCTGCCATCCGGGAAGGTATGATGTCAGGAGAGCTTCAATTACAGTACAAATGTTTCAGCCTCAAAAACTGAAACTCTGTTATGTGAATTCATCTTATGATTTCTAATCACTTTATACAATTCATTCCCACAAGCCTAATAATTACTAAATTAAAGTGCTTGCCTAATGCAAAAATGCTTGCCAAATTTTTAAAATATATTTTACACTGTAATAAATCAGAATTATTGAGCTCTGTCCAAGGTGGGTTTTTGTTTTTTGTTTTTAAGAATTAATTTTGCCTAAAAGCTCTTGCAAAGCAATTGGATGTATTCATATATTATGAATCAGCCAATGGAAATTCAAAACAATTTCCAAATGATTCTTTTATTCCTTTTTATTCCCTTTTTCCTTTTTTTTTTTTTTTTTTCCCCAGAAATCTCATTTTGTTATTTCAGTATTGAAGGAATTAATAGATAACTGGTACTTAACGTGTCTCCACAATTATAAAGAAGAAGCATGAAAAGGGATGAAATTCTACAAAAGTCTGTCAGGGTTTTTATATATATATATTTCTAGATAAATATATGTGTAACTTACATACATATATCTCTAAATATAAAACAAAGTAATAGAGATTAAACCTCAAACACAAACACCCCAGTTTAAAAAATAATAATACCTACTATTAATATTTATATTTTGTCACCAGTATGTGTACTTGGAAAAAAAGTCTACGTTGTTACTTTATTCTTGTTTGTTAATATAATTGTTTCACTTTTGAATGCTTTTCTCTTTTTTTTTCTGTTGTATTTTAAGCATGCTTTTGCTGAAATGAAATAGTGAAATACATCAACTTAATGAATGTTATAGCTCAGTATTCACCTGAACTGAGTATGAGCACTCTCTTTTCTTTGCTGCCATATTTTTTTATTCTTTAACAATATTGATATTAAAGGAAAAATAAGATGCCTTCAATTTCATACAGTCCTAGTATTATCAGCAGTTATGTCATTATTCAGTGTTGAAGCATTCCACGTTTTCATCCTGTAGTTAGATGTAGATGTAGAAACACTAGTGAAGAAACTTCATTTTATCAGCCTATTTTTTTCCTTCAATTAGCATAGTGTATACTAATACTGTATGCCCTAGTGAGCAATGGATGATGAGCACACAAATTGCTACGTATATGAAATATTTTAGTCAAAGTACATTTTCTGTTTATTGATGGTATGTTTTGTTTCTTGCTTTTTTTTTTTTTTTTTTCTTTGTTTGTTTGAGTTTGTTTTTGTTTTTTTCCTGGAGAATTGTAAAATATGTGTATGTGTATATCTATATATGTATTCTAATTCAGGATGAAAGCTTAATATTAAGCTATAATTAAAACTGAAAATAGGAGAGTTACAGCCTTCCATTCTGTTTTTTTCTTTTTTTTTCCCCTTTCCCTTTTTTCAGTTTAAACTTAAATGATGAAAATCAGTGCAGATACACTGTGTGATCTCAAAAATCAAAGTGTGCTTCTGTGATTGCAAATTTCTAGCCCTCTACTATTGTGTAATCTGACACTTCTTTTTCTAAAATAGCTAACCACTTGCAAATGAACCCATGTTCTGTATAGAAAGACATGGGGGAATCCTTTATAATTGTCTTGATTTTCACAAGTATATACTATCTGCTGATCAACAACTTTGCCAGGCATTTATTTGTAGTGCTTTATACATAGCAGTATTTTTTACTTAAGCTTCTTGAGGAAGTCCCAATTAATGCTGAATTTGTATGTATCTTGTTTTTATTTTTATTGTTTTATATTGTAAACTAGAAGTTGCAAACAAAAATAAGGATCTGTTTCTTTATATTTTTTTTTGTTCCTATTTTGGCTGCTTGACTATGTACAAACTATGAAAAGATGGATCTTCATATTGCTTAACATGCAGACAAAATATTTGTGTGTGCATATGTACAAGCCCATATTTTTCTAATACACATAACTTTATGCATTCACAGTGTTCCAGCTTTTCATATGCATTGAGTTTTAGTGAAAAATTATGTATACCTATTTTATGAGGGATGTCGATGATTGTAAGTAACAGAACTGCTGAAAATGTGAAATTTTGCTTTTATTTCTCAATAGTTTTGGTTAGCGATTGTTTGTCCATATGATGCATTATGTTGTATAGCATTTCAACATTTTACTTCCTAAAGTAAAAATAGTGTAATTTGGAATATTTTCTATCATTTATATATTATATAAATTATTATTATACATGCTTTGAATAAGTATTGTATGTTATGTTTTGGAAGCGGGAATTTGACATTTTCACTACATTTATTAAAAGAGTTACTGTGTCAGGATCTAATACATTGAAAAGAGATACTTGTATAAAGATTTAAGCACAAAGTGCTTTTTTGGTATGTTGAAGAATTAATGTTAAGCATGTGTATATTATTTAGAAAACCTTATCAATAAATATGACTCCTAATTCTTTTTTGTGTTTATTTTGAATGCAGGCTGATGATACGTTATTAACTTTTGCTCAATTAAAGGATCGTTAACACTAATGATAAATATATTGTAGCAATTTGTTGTGAAGGTATTAGTTGCATGCTCATCCATCATGAGATTGTTGTTTACATTTTTTCACACGCCTCTCAATTAAAAATGATCAATTAATATTTTAGTAATTAGTACATTGCTGAAAGCTCCATAGCTGCAGTATAATTGTTTTAAGGTATGGAACACAGTTTGCTGGCTATAGTCCGTGCTATAGAATGGTGCATTATAAGGTGCCAAAGTAAATTTCAGTAGTTTCTTTCAAACACTGGCCCTGTTTGCTTGTAGGCTGATAACTGTTTTTAGCGTGCTCATTGAACTTGCTGGAATTTGTGTTTTCTAGTTTCCATTTTCCCTAAGAGAAAGAGAGAGGAAAGAATATATTCCTCATGTGGCTGGCATATTTTTTAGTATTTATGTGAGTTCACCATCTTGATTTCAAGTCATGAATTTATTTTTACATGCATAAGCATGCATATTTACGTGCATTATTTATCCAATTGACTTTAAATTCCATTAAGTTCCAATGAGTAGGAGAAAGATTTTGTCTTAGGCATTTTTTATTCATTTTAATTTTGTAGTTATGTTACTTTTGTTGGTTTATTTATTTTTTAACTGTTCAGTCTAAGGCTTGTAAAGGTTGATTTGCTCCTGAACTGCTTTGTTCCCAGACATTGCCATCTTCCCCAACTACCACCAAGTCCTCTCCATCTGATCCCATGACCACCTCCAGAGCCAATCAGGTACAGTATCATCCTACCATCTACACCATACTTTTCACGGGTGACAGCTTGCAAACTGGAGAAAAAGATATGGTGGGTTAAGGATTTATTCGTTCATTCACATGTGTACACCCATAACCATAGATATCTAACTCTTATTAGAATTTTGTAAATTGAATGGAAATCTTTTTTTTTCAATTTTTTTCTTTTTTTTTTTTTTTAAATCTTGTAAAATAGTATTATTTTTTAAATTTGGTTAATAAATAGTAAGGATACATACTGATATTTCTGTAGACAGAGTAAGTCATGTATGTTTTATGTATATATGCACACACGTATTTACTTCCTGGATAAACTACAGTGGAGTTACCCATAAACCATATTTAATTGGGTGTATATCAGCCTGCCCATAGATTTTAGATTTTAGTTACTTACTGATTCCAAGAACTTTCAAATATGTTTGTGGACAGTAACATAAGGACATTGTTTAAATATGTTTAATTATTGTGTGTAATAAAAGATCTTAAATGAAAATCTCTTGACTTAGAATGAAGTAAAATTAAGTCACTTTAAAACATCTCAAATACATCTAATTAATTTTAATTCACATCTAGTTTTTAAAAAGCATAAACTGTACTTTTAGTACAGTTTTAATTATGCTCATTTATATCTCTTCTAACTGCGAAAAAAACAACAACCACATGTTTGCTTCATTATGTCCACAAATCATCATGGTTGTGTATCTTCTTTTTTTATGAAAATTGTTAAAGTTACTTCATACAATTCTATTTAGAACTGATTCATGCTTAATAAATATCTTATTCAGTTTTTTAATGTGCTGTTAAACTTAACATATTTGGTGTTCAAATAACATAAGTATTCATTTAATGCTAACAGTTCTTTAAACACAACTTCTGTTTAAGTTAGCTGAGTGCTTCTATCAGACCTTGCACAAATTAGTTTTCCAGAAAAATTTTCTTCATAACAAGCTATTTTCCTCTTGAAGTTAATGTTGATACTAATAATTGATTCTCTGATATTTTGTGAACTGTTTAGAACTTTCTGTCTGTATGAACTATTTTACATATAACAGGACAAAGCATATTAAAGCAATATATCATATTTTTGATCAACATGTAAGCAGCTGTTGAAAGAGACATCTAATGCAGAAAGTAATTAAATTTAGAGAGAAACAATACAGATAGAAGAACTATAAGAACATTGTATGTTATGATATCCTTCACTTCAGTATGAAAGCCTTCTTCATCAGACTGCTTCCATTCCAGCAATAGTTGTTTGGCTTCATCATCATTAAATGACAAAGAGAAAATCTTTGCCAACAACTATGGGTTATTTTGTGAACAGTCTGCTCTGTTCAGTCTTTATTCTCTCCCTCTTAATGTTAGTGTTTTGTGTATTTTAATTAAGTTTTGAAAATGTTGAACAAATAGATCTTTTTAAAAAGTGTTCTTTCTTTCTGCTCTTTTACCTTTTTTTTTTTTTTTTTTTTTTAATATGACTACCCTGATGATCATTACTGAGAGATAAAGGAATATGTGCTTCTATTTAACTGAAAATACTATTTGGCTGTTCTATTAGTATCAGAGAGGTGTCTACTTTGCACCTGTTCTATGAATTTTGAATAATCAAAATTACTGTGTATCATATTAAACTTAAATGTCTTTAATAGTGAAAATATAAATTTTTACCAAAAATTGTTCTATGAGAATTTTATGAAGTGATACAGCTGGAATATCCAAACTAAGAGAAAAGTATATGCTTTGTATAGTGCATGTATCCCACATTACATCTGCTAATGCATTTTATCCCTAATTCATATTTAGTTCCATTTTCATAGGAATAACCAAGAGCCTCTTTTGAGCTGCATTAAAATTGTATAAATGAAAAAGAGTAATACATTCTGTAAGCGACTTTTGGAAATGCATTTATCATTAACCCTAGAAATCTTTACTGGTTTTTAATTATTTTATCCCAGCTTTCAAGCTTTCATTTCCTAGTGGTTTCTAACCATTTCAGCAGCAAGCACAAAGCACATGATAAGGCAATTAAGGCTTTTCTGTTCATGCTTGTGATAAGTGATGTAGCTGGCAATTGTTCCTAGACTGTAGTAGTGATTAGTATTCAGCACCAGTATGTCACAAGTATCTGCACTGCGGCTGTGACATGAAAATAGGTTCCAACACGGTAATCTAAAACCTGTCAGTAGTCAAGTAAGTAACCAATGGGAGACTAAGAGAGAACAAAACAAATTTATTTTGATCTATGGCTAGGGATGATGATTCTTAATAACTGTTTAGGTGTGGATTTTCTAACAGAATGTTATATAAAGGCAATATGAAGGAGCTTATTTAACTGAATAGAAGTCAGGGAATTTAGTGTTAAGGTGGAAGATAAATTCACAGCACAGCCTGCTCTGTGTGTATAATAGCATATCAGACTTAAGATCATTCAGTTTTCTATAATATTTCAATCATGACAAGACCGTATTTTATATTAAAAATTAACAAAGGTGATTAAGCAACATTTTAGCAAGGCTTAGTGCTGGTAGAAATTGTTTGCTGTTAGAGTAAGATTTTAACTGAGTTGGAGCACTCCCTATGAGTCATTGCAATTGGAGACTTGTTGAGGATGCATGTAGATGAGTTTACACGATGATATGATCCTTCCCACTGTACAGCAGTTGTTTTTTTCTGACAGGGTCTGCATAGTGGACAGAGCAATTCCTAGGCACAGTATTTACCACAAGAGAAAACAGTTCTGTCAGGAGAAGTCAGAGGACACTAGGCAGGAAATCCAGCTTATATTACATCTTCCTTTTAATGACTTGATTTACCTCTGTCTGGATGAATTCATAACTTCCTTTTATGGCAATTTCAATTTTTGTTGAATTTTTGTTTTGTTCTTTTTATTTTGAAAAATTCAGTGATCGCAAAACTGCATGTTATCCTCAAGAGGATGGTAGTCTCTATATTAGCCATTTATACTGGAATAAAACTCACTCTTCAGATCTGTCATGTTATGCTATGCTGAATTCCCATTAATGCAACAGAAACCTAACATTTTTTCCAGGAAAAATATGTATCTGTCAGTATTATTGTTGCAAATGTCGAATTTATTTTTTCAGTACTTTCTTGGACGTTTGTCCACAATATAAAGTAATGCACTGGAAATTTTCAGTAAGGAAGAGCCAATGATGAAATAAAATTAAGAACACCCAGAATGCATTTCAAATAGAGGGTTGTGTTTTTTTTCTCCTCTATACATATCACTGAAAAGAACAACTTGAATCTTTTTGTGTACTTATGGACCAAGAACTTCATCATTACCCTCTCATGATAGCTTTTTTTTTATAAGAAAATGTTTGTGTGTGACTACAGCAGTGAAACTGTTCTTCTGGCACCCCTGAAATTGGCAGAATATAGCATTACTTTTGTTTACCCGAAGGAAGAAATCAATTTTACTTTTCCACAATACACTTCAGATGAAAATTTCCTTTTAAAATTGATAAATAGTACCATGAACATCATGGGTTTTTTTCCTTCTTTGCTACCTTGGAAAGGTACAGATGATAGTAATTATTTTAAGTGAAAATAGGCAAGCGTTTCTTTAATAAAAGTGTTTACATATTGTTTTATTTTGTTTACAAGTTTGCTTTTCCTTCTTATCTGTCTCTTGGTCTGATATGACTTACTTTAGAGGTAAACACAAGTGATCTAAGGCTAAATTTTTTTATCTATTTCATGTACACCTGTAAGTGCATTTGCGAACCCTTACATGGTTTCTTCTCCAGTCCTTCCCTTTTCCATGAGATTGATATTGCTTAACTGCTGGCTGTCAAAGAATAAAAGGCCAAAACGGATGTTAGCACTTAAAGATAAGAGAGGGATGGGTACAGCTATTCTGTCCTTCCCTTACTTATACCGGCTTAAACTCACTAATGTGCTTATTCCAAAATTTGTGTCATGATTTTACTATAAACTTATTAACTTAATTAAACTTATTTAATTTTTTTTAATGCACTATTTTGTCTCAGGCTGTTTACATTTTTTTAAATTATACTCTATATTTTTCACCTGGAACTATTTTATCATTTTGTACATTGCAAAGATTTGCTCAAGATTTATAATTTTTTTGGAGTATATCTATTTCATCTGCTGCAAACAGTATCTGTAATAAAAAATACTTTTAAATCTTTGTACAGTGTGGGACTGAGCCAATTTTCTTGGTACTGCTTGTACCAAGCAGGTACAGCACACATGGCTTTTAAAGGATTTGTAAATTCATCTCATTTAATATCTGTTTTGTTGTAGCAGATGGAAGAAGAAATAAGAAAGAAAATGTTTTTATCAAGGATGTGGACTTTGAACAATAGTGCAAAATATTTGTACAGAACTAAAACTCTCAGTGTGTAAATCTTGAAGTGCAAATAGATTGTTTTAAATATGATTTCAGGATACTAGCTAGCTCTTATAGGCTATTGAGATATATCAAATCATGATAATTTGATGTGAAAGTTATCCAAGGTACATTGTCTCTGATATTTTAACTTGAACATTTATCTAATAATTCTAATCCTCTTATTTTGATGTCATTTCTTACAGTGGTATTGAAAACATCCATTTCATTTTTAGGTCTCTCAGAGTTTGACTGATGCTGGATGTATCATTTGATTTTCCAAACCTCAGTACCATGTATTTAAAAGCACATTAGAAAAGTCAATTAGAAGTTATTTAGCAGTTTTATAAAAGGTGCTGTGCAGTGATGTTCATAGTGTAATAGGGTTGTCAAAAATACGTGCTGTGGTAGTTCACAGTGAGAAAATACAAATAGCAATTTAACCATTTTCAACCTGGTGTATTGATCATTGATAAGTACAGTCATTTTATTTTCATGGGATCTGGTCTCCACTCACAAAAGTAATATGCTTTTTGGAAGAGATTTCCATCTAATAGGGGGTGTTTTATAGAGGCACATCATGGAAGAATTTAGTGCACTGGACT